TTGTTCTTCTTGGGTAGCTAATGTTACAGATGGAATTTGGGGGGGGGGAAAGGGAAGGAGGAGAGGGAAATTTATGATTTTCTAGTCCACTAAAATCCTACTTACCTGGCATTGCTCAGCTCTAAAAGCATATTTGCAGCATTTTCCAAAGGGAAGAGAGGAAAAAGGAGGCCACAGTCTTGTCATAACAGTATAATTGGATTGTTTTAAAATTGTAATAATACCAGTAATCATCACCTAAATACAAAACCTTGCATTTTGCTACAATACTAATTACATGTTTTAGTAAAGTTCTTTTTTTTTAGTAATTGCATCTTTGCACATTCCCCTTGGCCTTTTGGTTCTCAGGATTACAGGCTACAAGATTTGGCCCTTGAGTATTACAGTGATTTTTATTAGTTAATTCAGATTTTCTAGGTTAAAGGAATTGATGAGGAAAGTTGTACTGAATTTTTGCTTTTGAGATACTGGCTACTTTATGCAAGGTAAACCATAACTGAATTCCTATTAGTAATTGTGGGCTGAGGTAAAATGTACTGTCTCCACAGAAAAGACTGTGTTCTCACTTTGTTTAAAGCTGGTTGATAAATACCAGAAATCCTCTAATGAAAAATTCAGCAAATAGTATTCAGCTAGCTTTTTTTCAGAGAGGAATAAAAAACCCCCAAACATTGCATTTTAGAGGCAAGGTAAATTTCAAAGACCTGAAATGAGGTCAAACACCACAGAAAGCATTGGCTATGCTGGAGAAGCGTGATGGAGGCAAGAAGGAAAGGATTATAGGGAGAGATTTCAGATGTACAGTTAGTTTTTTCTGCCATATAATAATAATCCAAGTTAACAAATGAACTTCAGTGCTTTAGAGGTGGATTTGTGGTACTGTATTTATTATGAAGAAATATTATTTGACAGAATGACAAACTCTATCTCTGATAGAAGGCCTACTTGGGGCAAATGGCAAAGCAAAGGAAATAAATGAAAAATGACATCTTTCAGCCCACAGGAAACCAGGGAACTGGGAAAGAAATATATTTGCAGATTGTGCCTTAAGAATTAGGTGCAAAACTACTATGAAACTTGCAATACTAAAATGTTTTGGCCTACAGCTACCCGTCAATTATTAGTAGAAATGCACTTTTGTACAATGATATCAAGTTTTTAGGCAATACTTTTTCTTTCCAATCATTTTTTTTTTCACCAAAATACTTGTGGGATGACCCAGAGAAGATGCCTGAATAGTAATGAAGTCTGATAGTTCAGATTAAATAAAAAGAAAATATTTTATATAAATATAAATAAAAAGAAAAAAAGACAGAGTATACTGGAATCTTAAATTTGGTTTGATTTCCAGTTCTTCTCGAAGTCTTTGTAAAGAATCCATTGTGATGTGGTTCTATGTATCCCCACAGTGCCAGCTGCCTGGTGTAAGGTAGGGCACTTCAGCCTCACCTCACATGCCACCCTGCAGCATGTGGGTGTCTGTTCCCTGGACCTGCTCTCTTTCCTAGACTCTGATTATTCCTTCTAAACTTGCTGGGGCTTGCTGCCAGTTGCTTTTCACTTAGATCATATGGAAGTTCTGGCATTGAGAGGACAGAGACTGTTTTTGCTGTAGTCATTACTTCCTAGTTGTTGGAAAGCCAGGGAAGAGAGCCTCTGAAGGGAAAGCTAATAGGGTTTTTCCTTGTGTTTGAGGTGGGAAAGAAACGGGAGAACTGGGAGCTAAAAAATGGAGCTGTAAGAAATAGGAACTAGAAGTCAATAAGAAGACAAGGAGGGGTGAGAGGAATGATTTAGGCATTAGGTGGAGAAAACATGGTCAAGTCCAATAAAGTACCAATAGCATTTTTTGGATGAAACACCAAAATGAATCATCTTGCATGGCTACAGAAGTAATTGTTTCAGATGGCTTCTGCTCTAAATATTTTGGTGCAGCACGATGACTAGAGGGAGTGATGGCAAGATCATCCAGTAGATTTGAAACTATCAAAGAACATACTCAGAATCCTTCAGCAGCTCTGGTGCCAAAATTTGAGTAATTCCTGTCCAAGGAAGTAGATTGTTAACTTATCACTGTATTACAGAAAACTGCTAGCAAATTGTACATGGATGGATGTGTATTTCAAAATCCATCCCTTGACAGCATAAGACCACTATCTGCTACCAAATCCATCAAATTGGTTTTCCCAATCAGACAGCCCTGGCTATAATTTCTCTCTTCCTTGACCTTACACAAGGTTTGTCACTTCCTTCCATGTTAGTAGCAGGCAATTTTTTACATGACAGTAGACTGGATTCCACAACATGCTCTTTGGTTTTGGTGCTGGGGTGTTACAATAAGCTGTGTACTTCTGTAGGTAGACTAATGATTTTAGAGGAGTGAGTCTCCTTGTGATTTTCTTTTCCTCCACTGTTCACCAAATATTTAAGGCTTTGGGATGTTCTGAATGTGCTTATGTGCTCTGGCCCAAGGCATACTATGACAGGACAGTTCTCTGCAGGCAATTCCTTTCGGAATAGCCAGTTGGCACAGATTAGAGGAACTTCCTGGTTAGAATGTGAATTGGAATCTGAGAAAGGTCATTAATTCATCTTCCTTTCATAGTTTTTGTTTCAGTTTATGGGGACAAATTTTGAAAAGCTGCACTTTGCTTAACTCAGAGGAAGATTAATGGGACCTCCTGTGCAGTTCCATGGATTGGCTCTTGGAGTTGAGATATAGAGAAGGACTTAAAAAGTTCTCAGACAACTCTGTATCTATTCCCAAGAAATTAGCATAGAAAAATTTCTGATCATCTGGTCTGTTTTAATAGAAATTTTAAAAAATGATTGATCTTGCATGTTTGTATGTTTTTTCTGTGTGTTTTTTTTTTTTTTTTTAAATCCCATAAGGTTCTAGATCTAATGACAGCAGCGTGACAGAGATTCACAGCCCTCCTACATTCCTCCCCCACTGCAATTAATTATACAGTTTTTTCCTCCTTCACAACATTTGTTCTTTCCTTTTCTTAGCTAGCTGCAGATATAAAAATCTGTGCCAGCACAAGTCTAAATCTAGTCTGTCTTGTTCAAAGAGAGTTCTAAGTCTTCAATGTACAAAAATGGATTCTCTCATGTCCAAGAAGCAGTAGTCTGCCACAGCTGAGGTGGTTGGTTGAACGTAATGACTGAGAAGCAGAGTAACGACAGGACTAGGGGGAATGGGGCACAGCTGGAAGTGGGCAGATTCAGGCTGGACATGAGGAAGAAGTTCTTCACCATGAGAGTGGTGAGACCCTGGAATGGGTTGCCCAGGGAGGGGGTTGAGGCCCCATCCCTGGGGGTCTTTAAGGCCAGGCTGGAGGAGGCTCTGGGCAGCCTGATCTAGTGGGAGGTGTTCCTGCTCATGGCAGAGGGGTTGGAACTGGGTGATCCTTGTGGTCCCTTCCAACCCTGACAGATTCTGATCTGTTTTAGCAGAGGACTTTAGAGCCCTAATGGCTTAATGGTTGGACTTGATGATCTTGAAGATCCCTTCCAACATAAAGGATTCTATGATTCTATGAACTACTGTTGTGCTTATTGACAAACATGTTTATGGGTGGAACCTAAGAATCTAATACATAGGTTGCTGTGGGATGAAAGAGGAACTCGTCTGGTTTATCTTAACCAGAATTGCTGTTAGACTTATGCTTTCAAAGTGTTTCTGTGTTGATCCAAAAGTTTTCCCTTTTACAACTTTCATTCAGAAGGTTTGTATGTTGGCAACATGTCGGTTAACTTTGCTTTTATTTTTCTCTTAAAAAATTTCAAATATTTTGGAAACTAGTTTCGTTTTGCTTAAAGTCTTATAGACATATAGGCATTTGGTGTACAGAGACCACCTGACTTTGTGAAAACATTTCATTGTTAATAGTATTCAGTTTATTTGGAGCTTTAAAGTTTATAAAAATAATTTAAAATATAATGAGATAAAGAAAAGATAAGTATTACCATTAAATAAAAGCAGGACTGTAAATGAGTAGCTTACATGTGTATGGTCTTAACTGAGTGTGTGCCTAACAATATGCAAATATTAAGAGAATTATGATCTGGACATTTATTAGAACAGTGCTGTTTAATGCTAGAACAGATTTTAAATGTCTTAACTGTACATAATTCTACCACTGGCAATACTTTTTTTACATTTGAAGTAACTGACAAAAACTGAAAAAAGTTTATTTTCTTAAGGCTTTACATTTTTCATTTTGCTTAAATTGTTGTTACAAAGTGACAACTTTAGATGTAATTGTGCTAAACATGAAGGTAGTATCAAATGATGTTTCGTTTGCATTTTTTTTTTGTTGTTTGTTTTTAGAATGTGGAGTTACAGAATAATTTCCCAAACTCCTGCAGACAAATGTCTTATGGTACAGACTGCGTGACTACTCAGAAATTCATATTTCTATAAATTCAGTATGCTGTGTAGGCAGTGAATAGAAGGGGGAAAGTAAGGAGAAAAACAAATTGTCAGATGAAGATATAATCTCAAATACTCATCATAAACCAAAGTAATTTAGGTTAATCATCTATGTTTCAACTTTAATATGTGCAAGATCTTTTGATTTTGATTTGCGTTGAATAAAGAGTGTAAGATTTACCTCTTGAACAGAGAAATGCCCCTGTACCCAGATGTAGTACAAATATTTTAAAGACAAGTTGCTGTGTTTTGAAAAACTTTTGAAGTGTAAAAGAACAGTATGATAAAATAGGAATGTTATTATTCTCGGTGGGTTTGATTATTTCTAATATGTTTTTCTTTGTCATATTGACTAAGCAGAGTCTGTCTGTAGTTTAGGTTTATATATTTGAGTACTGTGAAGTTGTTGGTGCTTTTTTGTATAACTCAATAATTTATTTTTTTTTTCTGTTGAAGGTACTTTTTGTTGAATTGAGTTCTTTTTGTTGAATCTCCTTTGCTTGCATCTGACCTGTCTTTTTGTTGATTTTGCTTCATTTTTTTCATTTACCATGCTGTTCAGTTTTTGGATGCCAGGAGAACAAAGGTTTGTTCACTACTTGCAGTCAATTTATTTTTGCAAAATTCAGTATGGCTTATTGTGTTTTTCTCCTTTTTTTTTGTTTGCTTGTTAGAGATACAGTAATCCTGTTTACTAAACATGCTCATAGCTTTAGTTGCCAAAAGGAAAAGCCAAAACCAACCAGCCCCAACTTAGCCGTTTCCCAAAGCCCCCTTCAATTATAGTGAGTGCTTTGATTGACTCTATAAACAACAATAATGTTGAGCACCATGAAGGGCAGAATTACCTTTAGTCTATGAAGTAATTTAGAAAACATGGAATACTGAGTCTTTCAGCTTTGTAGGTACATATTGACTGTACTCTAGTGGATGTGTGACTGCCTAGTGTTTGGGTTTGTTTGTTTGCATTTCTTTGCTATTTATTTTATCTGCAGCTGCCACTATTTTGTGTGCGTGTTTGTTGTGTTGTTTTTTTTTTTTTTTTTCTAGAAGCACTTCAAAGATATCATTACAAATATTGTCACACGCATTTGCTGTTTTATGATGTCATTTGATACACTTCCGTCATTGATTCTAATGATTTTTTTTTGTAACAGCATACAACAAAAGTTTAATTGAAGATTAATCCTATGTTCATATCCTAAATTGATTTGTTTCCCTTTTCTTTATTGCAGCATCTGCAAATGACAATCCAGGCACTTCAAGATGAGCTTAGAACCCAGAGAGACCTTAACCATCTTCTCCAGCAAGAAAGTGGAAACCGAGGAGCTGAGCATTTTACCATTGAACTCACAGAGGAGAATTTTCGAAGACTTCAAGCAGAACATGATAGACAAGCTAAAGAGCTCTTCTTGTTGAGGAAAACACTGGAAGAAATGGAGCTTAGGATTGAAACACAAAAGCAAACACTAAATGCCAGGGATGAATCAATAAAAAAGCTTCTGGAAATGTTGCAAAGTAAAGGTTTGCCATCTAAAGGAATGGAAGATGACAATGAGAGAACTCGAAGAATGGCAGAGGCTGAATCTCAGGTTAATCATTTAGAAGTGATTTTAGATCAGAAGGAGAAGGAAAACATGCATCTTAGAGAGGTAATGAAAAACTCATTTGTTTAAAAGATATCGTTGAAGTACTTGCTGCTGTTTTAGAAATATAAAATATCTAAGTATTTTCTTATTCTGCTCTCTTTTATCATAAAAAAATATAATATGCGTTTGTTTTACATCTAACAAATACACAACAGGACTACAGGACATTTGAAAGCAAGTGTAAGAAATTATGGAAGAAAGGTAATTGTATTTGAGTCTTATTGTCTTTGATATGGTTGCTTTGCATGGTTTCTGAATTTTTGTATTTTGACAAGTCATTGTTCAGCAAAAGAAGACGAGAACTACTGAATAGCAAAGTAGCAGCTAAGCTTAATAGTTATGAGTTCATGCTACTTCTGTGCTTGATACCCTTTGTGTTTGAAATTAGTGTTTTCAAATGTTTTGCTTTCAATATAAACAGGCTTCTGCCTATATGCATTTCTAATGTATTTTTATGTATTACTCCAACTTTTAGGTAAATATATTGCATGATGTTGCCACATTAAAGCACTGGGGCGATGGATGCACATTATTCTGAGAGATCCTTGATTTGATCCCAAGCCCACCCCCACCAGATGCCCACATCACTTGTGAATGCATTTTTGGGACTAGATTTGGAATTATTAAATTATTACAACTGAAAGAAAATCTGGCTTGGTGTCAAGCCTGTCTGCCCTCTCTACATCCAAGCAGCCCATTGGCATTTTTGTGTGACTTGTGTAAAGCAAATAAGATAATGTGTGTCTTCCTCAGACCCTATTGCCTCCTGCTAAGAGGGGTGAAATTGCAGGGAGGCTGTGTACAGGCTGCCCACAGTGAGGGAAATTTCAGGATAAACAGATCTGTTTCCTTAGAAACCTGAAAACAGGGTTGTCTAATTGAACTTTCAGTCTAGTATAACACCAATTTGCCTGACAGATCAGAACGTGGGAAAAAAAAAGTACAAAAGCATAGAAGCATAGAAAAGTATTGTTTGCTCCAGTAGATCACTAAAAGTATGAATGTTGGTGTTTAAGAACAGATATTTACATCTAGAGAATATTGTCAAAATTTTTTCTTTGCTATGGACAAATTCTGTTACATTTACCTTATGGCTACTTTTTGGTGGGTTTTTTTTTTTTTTTTTTTTTTTTTTTTTTTTTTTTTCCCCCTCTTTTTTTTCTGGCCTTCTCTAACCTAGAATGTGTATTGAGGACTCAGTGGTATCTGGTGCCCATCTGAAGCTTGGAAACTGGAAAATTTTCAAGGCACAATGGTACATGCCATTAAAGTTTTCTTGTGAAGGTGGGGATCCTGAAACTTCCCACTGGCACAGTGATGCCAGCTGTTAAGGAAGTCTGAGAGTCAGTGGATCCTGAAAACAGTTGCATGAGGAATTAATGATACTGAGTTTGTGATGAGGGAGGATTATGGGAGAAGTTCTATAAACTAGCAAGCAATTTTCTGGATTTACATCTGCTACCCTCAGAGTAGTACTTGAAGTCTGTTTCAAGGATGGATGTTTTGCTATTTATTATTTGTTTTGTTATGTGAGTGTTTGGATTTAACCTGTTACACCAGTATCACTTAAGTCTGTGAATCTTAATTTGAGGATGTATTGGACCCAAATAAATTTACAGTGGAAATTTTAAGGTTTCTAATTAGCACAATAGTGAAGAGTAGTGAGAAATATAACTAAATAGAGCTTGAAAAGCAGATAAAATGTAAGCCTCCAAGCAAAGTCCTTGGAGTTCCAATTTATTGACTAGTCCAAGGAATGCTGAGAGGAGGTCATACCGCTACTTATAGACCATGCATGTTTATCCTATATTTCTACTGAACAATTTTATGTTTCCCCCTGGGTTACCCTCGGTGGCCAAGGAAAAAAATTTCTCCCTCAGTTTGCATGAGGTTATAGAGCTTGTCTTTCGTCTCGAGTACTGCAAATACAGAGTGGCGTTTTTGGTTATAACATGCTGGTATGTCTTGGTAACTGGTCAAGGTTTAAAAATTTAGTAGGTTTGCTGTCTGGAATCTGTCCCTGTCAGATTGTCAGGAACTAACCATTGATTTGGAGATTTTGACTAACAATTTCCTTGTTTTTGTAAGTTCAAGGTTTTGGGTGAAGTCTGGCTCCAGCTCTCTTCCTGTAGCGTATGGTATTAAGTCTTTTGCTGTTTTGTTATGGGATGTTGTCTGCATGCTTTGAGGGAACATCAGATATTTTGTATAGTTTTATCTGTTCGTTAAAAGTCCAAATGGATCAACTTTTCATCTTTATGTGTAGCCTGGTGAGTCCTTGTTTCTGCAGTGCTTGTTCAAGTTGCTGTCACTGCATGTAGTCTCCACCGTGTGCAATAAGTTTTCCAACATGATAAACCAGGAATGACTATGCTGAGTCTTCTGCAGTAGCCTCCTCAGTGGATAGATATTTTGATTTTTATTTTTTTCATTAGTGTTTGTAAGTTTTCATCCTAACTGTGTAAATGATCTTGCAGAGTTACTGGATTTTTTTTTTTCCTAATAATACTTTAAATTTTAACTTGGGTACATTTTTAATTAATTCTATTAATGGATTATTTAGCATTCACTTAAATTGTGTTAATACTTCTATCTTTAACAAAATATTTGTCATTTTAGAATCTCACCTAAAACATCCTGCTTTCTGTATTTTTATAGGTTGGTGTATAGAGCTCAAATGTTGAGTACATTTCTGAGAAACCAGTATATTCTCATGTGTAACATAATGTTTGATAACTTGTTTCTATTTTTTTTACTTAGTATTGCTATTTGACTTTCTGCCACTATACCTGAAACAAATTGTTGCAGTGAATTAAGTTATTCAAGGAACAGAGATTTCTAGTGTATCAATTTACCCTTACAATGATAGATTCTGCTGTAGTGTCCAACGGGAAGAGTGCTTTCTATGGGAAATAAAGCTGAACATGGTGGTTATAAGGTTGAATGTGAAAAAAAAAACAAACCCTGAAGACTACTGGTTTTCTACAGCCTAAGCACAACATTAAAAAAACATATATAGACTGACCTCAACAGCTATGCTTTTGGCATTTAGTTTAAAAATACTTTCAATCTGAAGTTTTTAGTTCTTGAAATTAAGTTGTGTTACCTTTTAAATTCTAGCTGAAGAAAGGCCAAAGATATATTTTGCTGAGTTTTTGAACATATTTCCCTCTAATGTAACTCTATCTTTCCCCCTTGGACTGTTCATTTCTTAGTTCTTTAAAGTAGTGCCAAAGCTGGAATCAGTCTTCTCTTGTTCATTTTCGGTCTTTTAGATCTCTCAACATGGTTAATAGTCACTGGTGGGTGAAATTTTGACTAAACAGGAGACTTAAACCAACATATTTTGAGAGAAACTGAAGCGACTGGTTGTGAAATGTTGGCAGTTATGGACACCCTCTTCACACATTCATGTCTCCAGTGGCTGTCAAGTCTATCTCCTTGACCTGCATCCCACTGAGCACTGATTATACTAGGAAGTGAATAGTGAGGGATATGTTCAAATAGAGAGCAATAACTTTTCTTGTTGTCCTTCAATCTCTACCACTTTGTTAATTATTAAATGTCTCTCATATTTGTTTTTTGTGCATTTTATGTAAAACATGTGCATTACCAGAAAAAAAGTATCCTACTGGTTTGATTCAGAATCATGTAAAAATTTAGGTTTTTTAAGCTATTGATTCTTTTTTTTTTTATTTCCTCTCCTGTGACTAGCTGTAGCAGCCACCTTCAAAGATCTGGAAGTTCTCCAGGCCTTAGATTATATTTCTTAGAGAAGGTATAGGGAAGAGACCTACAAATACCTAGGACACCAGAAGCATAAGAACAACTCTAGAAAATGAAACAACTAAATTTTTTCCCCCCCTTTGTTTTCATGTTCTTAACAGATTTATTTATAGTGACTGGTGTGTTAACTACTTGGCCTTAAAGATTGTACCTTTCTGCAGTGAACAGTCTGCTCTGTTTCACAGAGGCAAACTTGTGATGATAGGTTTACTCAAGTTTTGTGTTTGAAGGTCTTAATAATGGCAAATTTGAGACGTATTATACAGGAGGAGGAGGACATTCGAATGGAAGTTGGAATCCTCTTTTACAGGAATATCATAAAATGTCAGTGTCAGTAAGATTAATGAAAATGTTGGGAAATAAGCTATGCAAAAAATGGGATTAGATTTCTTTCCATATATTAAGGAATTTAAAATCTAGGCAGTAAGCTTCCACAAGGATAGCTTGATTCCCAACTTTGTGATAGTTTTAAGAAAAGTTTCCTTTCACAAAGCAAGAAAGAACAAATCAAATTCTCATCGAATAGCAAAAAGTGTGAGCATGTATTTCTGTTTCAGTTTTGGAGATGCAGCCTGCTGAGGGTAGAAGGTTGAGCTCTTTTCTACAAGTTTTATGAGAACTTCTGCCCAATTTGCATGCAGTTTTACATCACTGAGGCTGAATCCTCTGTCTGTAACTAAGCTCACTCAAATATTTTTGTTAACATTTTTCAAAGGTAACTGAATGTTATTTATATTTCCTGAGAGAAAATGATATAGCATTTGCTTTGATAAGGAAATAATGATCCTGTGTAAGGAAGAAAGGAGTCTTCTCAAATATACACGCATGAGAAAACTGACATTTTGAGGGCTGGGTAGTCTCACTGTTAAGTATGTTAATGGTTGAAAATCTGTCTTGATGCCATAATGTCATACTATGGTGCTCTTCATGTTCAGAATTAAATATCCTGAAGATCACTAAATAGATATATTCCTGTCAGAAAACACAAGATGCCTGCTCTAAAGTTCTTAAGTTGGTTATCACATGTCTCTTCTAGAATTTTAAATAAACGCTTGTTTCTTTATACTTTGGGAGAACTGTAGGTAATATGGTGATTTTATCATGTGGAAATGTAGCACAGATGTTTGATATTACTTTTTTTAAACATAGTGACCACACATTATTTACCCTAAGTACCATTAAGTATTTTTTTATTATTGCTATTAAAAACTTGCCTT